GCCGAGATATGCTGCGGTTTTGTTGGGAAATCGAGGGAATGAATAGTCAGAAAGGGTGGGAGGAAACTATAAACTTCACACTAGACAGCCAGGGACAGGCCAGAATCTGCCAGCAGTGTGAATTATAAAGGAAAATTACATAGAGACCTCAGAGGGAGAGAGGGAGAGAGGAAGCAGGGAGGGGGCAGCCGTGCGGGCTGGGAGCAGGTGCTGGGGGCTCAGTCTTCCACGCTGGAGAGAGAGGGGTGGTGTCTTTCAGGAGGAAAGGTGTCCTGGCTTTGCTCTGGGGAGCGAGGGGAGGAGACCAGCAGCCAAGGCAGGTGCGCTGGTAGCAAAAGCAGGTTTGGAATGAATGCAGGGCCTGAACCCATGGTAGCTTTTATGACATTGCCCCTTCTGATTCAGTACAACAAACGGGATTTTCAAACTGTGGAAAGGACCCTACAGACGACCCATCCGGGGGCTCTGAAACTTGGAAACGTCTTCCCAAGTCACCTGGGGTACTTGCTAAAAATGCTGGTGACAAATTCCTACAGAGGGACAGTGGAAGAGCAGTGCTGGGGACTGGGGGAAGGGTGCGGGGCACAAGGGAGCTAGTGCTTCTTGGGGATAGAGTCTCTGCTGGGGAAAATGAAGCAGCTCGGAGGGCGGGGGCAGTGCTGGCTACACAACCAGGTCAGTGTACTTAATGCCACAAACCTGCACCCTTAGAAATGGTTGAAATGGTCATTTTTGAAATTGGAGCAGAGCGGATATATGACAGTCTATCAGGTTCAGGTGCACGCCAGAGTGGGTCGGTAGTTTTAGACGTGATGACACAATCTCCACGACAGGGCATCGTCACCATCCGTCACCATGCCAAGTGACGAAATAGTGACAGCATTGCCTCCGCTGCATTTTCCATCCCCAGGATTTATTTACTTTATAACTGGAAGTCTGTGCCTCTTCATCCTCCTTCACCTATGTCATGCACGTCTTACCACAAAATAAGTAAATAAATACAAGTTACCTGGCAGAGCCAAAATAAATATATGCTAGTGACGAAGCCCCCTCCCCACCCAGTGGCTGCTCTGTGGGGACCAGAGATCTGCATTTCAGGAGCATCACGAGTGATTCTGATGGCAGTGACGTGAGGTCCAGGATTCAAAATGGTATTGCAGTTATGAAAAGAGAAGATGAAGAAGAAGGAGGAGGAGGAGAGGGAGACAAAGAAGAGGAAGAGGAAGAAGATGAGGAGGTGGTGGAGGAGGAGGAGAACAAGAAGGAGGAGAAGGAGAAGGAGGAGGAGGAGAGGGAAGAGGAGGGAAAGGGGGAGGAGGAGAAGAAGAGGGAGAAGAAGCAGCAGTAGAAGCAGAAGCAGCAGCAGAAGCAGAAGAAGCAGCAGAAGCAGCAGTAGATGTAGAAGCAGCAGCGGAAGGAGAAGCAGCAGTAGAAGGAGAAGCAGCAGCAGAAGGAGAAGCAGCAGCAGAAGGAGAAGCAGCAGCAGGAGAAGGAGCAGGAGAAAGAGAAGCAGCAGCGGAAGGAGAAGCAGCAGTGGAAGGAGAAGCAGCAGTCGTCCTCTAGAGGCACAGCCTGCGATATGACGAGTGAACGGCTGTGCTATCTGGAGTCCGGCTTCCATGTTGGTGGCAGAGACGGCACAAGAGTGGCCTAACTGACAATGGCTAAAGCCGGGTGATGGACACACGGGGGTCCATTATAATGGCCTCTCCTCTTTTATATTAAGCTTGAAATTTTCTATAATTGAAAAAAAGGCTTTAAAAAAAAAAGCCTTTGACAGGTGGCCCCCATTCCCACCAGAGGAGGAAGCAGGACCGAAAGGCTGGAGGGACGAGCGAGCCTCGGGGACGGAAGGTGGAGCAGAAGGGGACCGTCGGCGTGTCCCAACAGCCTTGTGTGGTGACTGACGGTAGCTACATGTGTGCTGAGCACAGCAAAATGTAGAAACTTGTAGAATCACTGTGGTGTACACCTGAAACCAAAGTAACATTGTGTCAGCTGTCCTCCGATAAAAACGTTATTAATGGGGGGTGGTGTGAGTGGGAGCTTCCTGTGGGCGAGGCACGACCAGCGGCTCACTGTGGCTGCGGCGTCCCACTCGGGGCAAAGCAAGGAAGGGCTCAGGGAGGAGGCTGGGAGCCCTGAAGGGAGACGCCCCCCGCAAAGTCTGGTTGGCCTTGGGAACAAGTGTAAATCTTTGGGTGATGGGAACCACGGGGATATTCTCAACATCGGAAAGAAAGAATTAGATTTGGGCCTTAGTTAGATTTGTCCAGGAGCTCTGAGATGGGGGGTTTAGGGGAGGGAATAGGGAACGAATCAGAAGGCTCTTCCAAGTGTCCGGGGAGTTGAGCTCAGGACCTGGACAGGGTAGTAGTAGGAACAGAGAGAAGGGGCTGGAACGGAGACAGGTTTTAGTGGATACGACTGGCATGACTGGTAGTTAACTACATATAAGGGAAGAATGAGACAGAGGCAAGAATGACCCCAGGCCTGTGGTTTGGGGAACTGGACATCAACCCCATTAACCAAGACAGGATGCACAGGAGGAGTAGCACTTATAATCCAGTTGTGTTCTGGGGACAGAAGATCTCAGTAGGATACGTCGTTCTAGACTGAGAACTCTAAAACCTTCCTTGCGTGACAACTACACACTCCCTTCTAGCTGTCTCAGATCTCTTTCTTTCCACAGGTTCCTTCCCTTACAGAATCACAGATCACAGGGCGCCTGGGTAGCTCAGTTGTTAAGCCTCTGCCTTCAGCTCAGGTCATGGTCCCAGGATCCTGGGATCGAGCCCCATATCGGGCTCTCCGCTCAGCGGGAAGCCTGCTTCTCCCTCTCCCACTCCCCCTGCTTGTGTTCCCTCTCTTGCTGTTTCTTTCTCTGTCAAATAAATAAATAAAATCTTTAAAAAAAAACCACAGGAGATCAGAGTAGGGAGAAGTTTCTGGTAGTACTGAGCCTAACACCCTTCTTGTACAGTTGGGAGGTGGAGACATGTTAACTGACTTGTCTACAAATCTTATGATTTTTTAATATAGATAGTTAAGGTCATCCTAACTTCAAATAAAAAACTGTAAAAATATCAAACACCCATAGAACCACTTCTTGCCATCAGCTTCCCTACCACTCTTCACTCCGTTTTCAGTATTCAAACACCCACCTCCTTCTAACTGGGAATTCATGTCTTAAATCTCTGCAAGGTTTACTTCTCTCCCCTTTGAATGACGCTACTCTAAAATTAATTGGGAAAGACCTCTTGGCCATCTAGATAGTGTTCTTCTCGGTCCGCATCATTTTTCCTTGGCTTTCTGGGAGATCTGCACCCCTCCTCAAACTCTTTACTGACTTGATCTTTACATCCATGGTCCTTCTTGGGTCTCCTCCTCTCTCTGCTCACTACTCCGTCTCCTGCATCACCGACTTCTTGCAACTCCCCTCCTCTTCTAGATCACCACACTACCGTCGTGAGCCCAGAACCCCTCTCTTCTTCAGTTGGCTATTCTGGGGTCATTCGCCTCACAGCATCTACAGTTTCTTCTGGGTTCACTTCCCGGCCCGACGCTAGTCCATGTGGAACGGTTCTGCGCATGTCCTACAGGGGGCGCGCCAATTCTCCTGGGCCGCAACACTAGAGGCATGGTGCCTTCTCACAGAGAAGAAGTAATCCACGTTCCCCTGGGGCTCCCTGGGCTGGGGCCCTGTTGGAAGGGACATTGACAGATGAGCAAGTTCTGAAACCAGTGATGTGGTTGGTTTTTAGATCCAACAACACATGAAAACCACTGGAAAAGGCTACAAGTGATGAGCTTGGGAAAGACCACACCCTTGGGATCCAGCTTTCTTCAAATTTGTAAATACCTGTCACATGGGAGGAGGCATAGATGTGGGGTTTGGGGGCAGGGGGGTTGGTCTCTTTTCTGTTTCAGAAAGCAGAAATTTGAAGGAGGCCTATTTAGTTCAACCAGAGAAAAATCCCGCCTAGAACTCAGGTTGAATGAGCTGTCTCTCAAGACAGGGGGCTTGGCCTGTCACTGAACGTGCTGATGGAGAAATGCCTGTCCTGAGCGGGAGACTGGCCATATGACTTGATTACCTTCAAGAACCCTTTTCGTGCAACACTCTGGGAATGCGCTCTTGGTAAAGAGCTTGTCAGCACCACAGATGTGACGTGTCTGACAGGGAATCGGCTGTCCTGTCCAATTACTTGAGTCTACCATTGGCACAGTCATTCTTCTAGACTCTTGAGTGAAAAACCTCAGAGCACCTTGACCTCTTGCTCTCTCCAGGTCCCTGCCCCTCCGTACCCAGAGGCTTCCTTGACGTGCTCTCGATTCTCTTCCCACTGACACCGTTTCACTCCGGGTTTGCCAAGTCACATGTGGACAGAAGTCACTGATCTTTGAGCTGGAATGGACCCCGGAGAGATCAAGTCCAATCCGCCCATTTATAGGATGAGACACAGAAAATTAAAGACTCGTCTAAGGTCACATAGTTAAAAGCAGTGGTTCTAGGCTCTAAGATACATAGCGCCATCTTCTTCCCATTGGTCCAGGCCAGAGCAGGCCTGGGATTTCTCTTTGTCATGACTCAGGCCACCCCGATGCATTTCAACGGAACAGGTTTGGTAGAGACGGGTCGTGTCTTAACCGTGGAATGACTGATTTACTTGTATAATTTTGTCATGGTCCGTGGTCAAATCATATGTGTTAATCTAGACATAGGACTTAGCCCCGATCTCTTAATTGTAACAGACCACTGGGTCTGCTTTGAGTTAACAAACACTGTTCTTTTATGTGCTTCTCACAAATACTGCCAAAGTGGGACTGCTGAATTGCGAAATAAAGAAGAATTCTAGCCAGCTCAAGCTCTCTAGAGTCTGAAAATTCAGGTCATTTGGATTTGAAATGTATCACTGTACTCCAATGAGTACAAAAGTTACATATATCATGTTAACTGGCTATGCCCCGATTACTCCCCTGGAAGGCCCTGGACTCACGTTGGTTCTTCTGTGGCTATTCTGGTCTCTTCTAGTTCTTGGGCTTGTTTCAGCCAAGGTAACTTAGCTTCCACAGGACTTTTTTCTAAGAAAAAAGGAACATAAACAACAAGCTTAAGGGAGTTGGAGACATGATCATCATTTGCCGAAGGTTTCATCAATAAAGCAGTCATGCTTTGCAAACACAAGCTGAGTCTATTAGCACATGAAGTAGCTTCTGGGGTGAACCAGACATTTCTGTCATATATTTTTTTAATTAACACATTATCCACATGCAACCAGATGATCCCACAGCAGAGTTGAACACATTTTCTGAGCGAACATAAAAATGCCTTTTATTTTTAAAAAATGTCTTTTATAAACCAACTCTGTTGTTTCCATATGAAAGTTTTTACTTCAACCATACCAGCTTGCTTTCTTTTGCTGCAAATTCTGGTTGCCCGTGAATACAGAAATCGCTAGAGAAAACCCAGTAACATAGATGTGTGGAAAGTTGGGAGGAGGGGAACCTGTGCTCTGATTTACTTAAATTTTTATCGTTGTAGTTGCTGAGGGAGCTTATCACCAACTACAACCATCATGCAGGAGCAAGATGCATGCCCCTTTCTGTCCTTCAAAGCCTCCTAAGATATGAAGAAAGAAACACTAGTTATGAAATAAGAAAGGAAATCATTTTGCACCGCTGCGGGGAAACTGCAGACACAGAGGACATGTGCACCAGTAAGGAGAAAAGACTTCACTGGTGAAAGTTTTAATGCCAGGATTGGTCCTTGCTATGGCAACCAGTGATTTTTCTGGATGGCAGACACGGTGAGTAAATATTTGTTCAGTGCTTCATGGTATGGCTATTTGTATGAACAATGGACTCAGAAATGGCGAAGAAGAATTTTACTATACTTTCTAAGATACGAAGGGAGATTTCTTGGTACTAACAGGTGGGAATAATCCCTCTTTCATTTCCAGACAGGAAAGGACTGTCATGAGCACATGATAAAGAACATGTCTAAAATACTGTGGGAACAAAGAATGAGAACCCTGGGGGAAATTTCCTGCTCCTTTTCCTTTTTATCCTTCTCCTTTTCTACCCCCATGCCACCTTTTTCTCACCCTACTTCTTTTTCTTCAAAACAAGGATTACATTAAATTATTCTATGTCCACCAAGAAATGTCAGTATAAGCCCAGACGGATAGGAGCCCCTCTACATGTACTGAGTCGGTCGGAGCTCAGTCCCCCCCCAGATCACTCAATCATGTCGGGCCAGCTTCTCTACCCAGGTGGATGGCTCCCTCGGCATCTGTGGGTGAAACCATTTTTTGAGAAAGTAAGTGGAATGGAAATGCTACAATATTCGAATGAGAGCAGGACAACACCATTTGATTTCACTTCAACAGGCACCACCAACTTACCCTTTGGTTTATAACACGGGATGGGAATGATACATTCTTCTTTGATGTGTAACTTCAGCTGTGGGTTGCAGCCGCCCACGTGCTGTCCACGGTGGTTGATACACAGAACGACGCGGTAACGCAACCCTCGGCCACAAGTCACCGTGCACTTGGAAGAAGAAATGAAAAGCCAATGAACTCCTTGCTCATGAACCGATCCACAAAGTATTAGTGACTCATGCAAGGAGAGCCGCTCATTGACATGAATATTAAACACAAAAGCCACCAGACAACCATGTAGAAGCTGATTTCCTGTGATTCTTATGGGTCAGGGACCCTCCCTTGTAAGGCTTCCAATTCTCAATCTGAAAAGTATTTCAGATGAAGTCACAGTACAAGAAAAACTGAAATGCCCTGAAATCTTCCTGCTCCAATATGAAAGAAACTTGATACAAGTTTTCTCAAATTAGATTAAAAATTGTTTATCACATTATCCAAACTAGCTTGTGAGAAGGAAAAAAAAAAGTTTTTTATACCATCATTTAAAAAATCAAATTCTGATCAATCACATGAGAGGATTATCTTTCTATTCTGTCTATAGAAATCGATCTTACAAAACTGTGATCATGTGAAAAGGTGACCAAAGAGTATTCAGCCAAAATGGTTAGGAAAAATGCTACAGAGATATCAAGTAGTTGATAAAGAGTAGTTAGAATTGTCTTTTTCTGAATTTTCCTGTGAAGCTTGTATTTTTTTTTTCTTTCACTATTTATATATGATTTGGGTGGTACTCTTGGAAGATGAATGGAGTATTTTCACGTCATGAAACCTAGGATGTCTTTTTAATTTATCTATGTACGCTGGTGAGTACGTATGTGAATATGTATATGGCTTGTTCTTATTAATAGACTTTATTTTTTTTCTAGATTTTATTTATTCATTTGACAGACAGATCACAAGTAGGCAGAGAGGCAGGCAGGGGGTGGGGGGAAGCAGGCTCCCTGCCGAGCAGAGAGCCCAATGTGGGGCTCGATCCCAGGACCCTGGGATCATGACCTGAGCCGAAGGCAGAGGCTTTAACCCACTGAGCCACCCAGGCGCCCCTAGACTTTATTTTTTAGGACCACTTTATATTAACAGGAAATTGAGCAGACAGTCCAGAGTCCTGTGCCCCGGCCCTCCCCACCGTTCCCTCTACTACTGACACTGTATCAGTGTGGTATAATCATTACCACTGATGAACCAATACTGAAGCATTATTGTTAACTCAAGTCCAGAGTTCACATTAGGATCATTTTCGGTTTTTAAAAATTTGTGATTTCTTGTAATTTCCTGGCTTATTCTAAACAAAAATTCACCTGGATACCCAATATTTTGTGTGCTTTCTTCTTCAAGAGTCATCCCCGAAGCATATAAACTGGCAGCCTCACCAGTTCTGGATCCATCCCTGAGAGGGGCCGAGAGTCCTTGGGCACCTGCTAAGGGACAGGCAGTGCCCCACAGGTGTCACCTCACTAACTGTCCCACACCCCCGCAGCTCACCAGCTTCCCTCCCGTTCGACAGATGAGTGAACAACAGCCTGCCCCGAAGGACCTTGCTCAAGGTCACAGAGTTCCCAAGAGGCAGAGTGGAATTCCGTCCCAGATCCTCCTGTTGCCACAACCATGACTTTGCTGCTGATTCACCGAGTTCAGAGATACTTTCTTAAGTCTATAGACGTTTTCTCCACGGTCACAGCCAAATTTCAACAAATGCATGACTCCAAAAAAGGAGTATCAGTAGAGAACAAAGAGGCGGTTACCAGGCAGGAGGTGGCGGGGGACTGGGGGTAAAATAAGGGCTGGGGATGAAGGAGGGAACTTATGCTGGGCGCTGAGTGACATATGGAAGCCCTGAGTCACTGTATTGTACGCCTGAAACCGTTACAGTACTTTATGTTAACTGTACAGGAATTTTTAAAATTAGGATAAAAAAAAGAAAAGAATATCAGCAGCTCTCTGACTTCATCTTGGCACTCTTATGACCATTGAACAAATATTCGAATGTACTGAGTGTGGTTTGAGATTAGACCCTATTTCTGGGAAATGGACTCGGCGACCCCAAGATTTATGAACTTGAAATACATATGACACTGAGAGGCTGTTGCATATCGGTCAAGAAAGAAACAAAACTTCTGCCCAAAGTGAAAAAAAATGGTATGATGATAAGGTCTGACTATACCAGAATTGGTCGGTCCAAAGGGGTATTGTGTCGTCCAAAGGAGCCTCCCCAGGAAGATGGACCCTGAGGCCAACAACGGCGTCAGGATCTGCATTTACAGAACTCCACTCTGGAGCTGACCGTATCCCTAATGACAGCGAATTCTCGTTACTGAGAATGTATTTGGTTGTTGAAAAGAAATGGAAAGTATCACAAGCCAAGAAAGGCAAACGAGATGATTCGGGTAACAGCCCTCTGTTTTGAAACCATGAGTGACGATAAAGTCGTGAGACTGAGGAGCGCATGAGGTGGTGGGATAAAAGCTCTAAAACAAACATAAAACACAGGGAAGCGACTTCGAAGAGCACAAATGAGGGGTGCCTGGGTGGCTCAGTGGTTAACCGCCTGCCTTCGGCTCAGGTCATGATCTCAGGGTTCTGGGATCGAGCCCCGCATCGGGCTCCCTGCTCATTGCAAAGCCTGCTTCTCCCTCTCCCACTCCCTCTGCTTGTGTTCCCTCTCTCACTCTCTCTGTCAAATAAATAAAATCTTAAAAAAAAAAACAAAATAGGAGTGAAAACAAGCCGGGCAGTTTCTAGAAGTAAAAATGTTGATTTCTGATGATAGATCACGACGTGATTTTTGGCACATAACTCAGGAATTCAAGAACTAAATAATCTTTTTTTTAAAGATTTTATTTATTTATTTGAGATAAAGTTAGAACACAAGTAGGGAGAGATGCAGGCAGAGGGAGAAGCAGACTCCCTGCTGAGCGGGGAGCCCTATGCAGGACTTGATCTGAGGACCCTGAGATTATGACCTGAGCCAAAGGCAGATGCTTAACCAACTGGATCCCCCAAGCGCCCCTGAATAATCTTGCCATAATAAAATCCCCCCATCTCAGTCTACTTATTTTTGTGAACAAGTTTCCCCAGCGTGTACATGCAAAACAAAACAAACCAAGGAATTACAGTAAAAATTAAGAATAAAATTACCGCTGAACCCATGTCTCATTCTGGCAACAGACCATGTTTTCAAATCCCCCCCCCCCATTTTCTAGACAGATTGATTACAACTGAAAATTTACTTTTTATATGTAAAATTGTTTACCAAAATTTGAAATCTATTTATGTTGTTTTGACATTAGCAACCCAGGGGAATATTTCTAATACTTAGGGCCTTAAGGTCACAGGAAATTAAATTCATTTCAAATAAAATAAAATTAATTAATTTCACTCACTATACATTATTTTCTTGGAGAAAAGTACAATAGTGTAATCAGTAAAAAACTATAAAGCATGAAGCTACATTACATTTGGATAAATTGCTAGGGGGAGAGTGGATTGAATATGAGAATTCAAGGGGACAAATGCAGACGATCCCAACTGTTGAAGAAGAGCTCCTCTGTGTGTTTTTGAGGGAAACATGCCAAGGGTAGAAATCAATGTGGCATTTACATTCTGCGGGACACATTTTTTTTTAAATGCCATAACACTTTTATTTTAAAAATGCCAGCATTTTTACGTTAGAAATGACATTCCTTGATACTTTGTATTTAAACTTACACAAAAATAAACTTATACAAAAATACAAAAAAAAAAAAACAACCTTCTAGATGTTGGGGCGCCTGGGTGGCTCAGTCAGTTAAGCATCTGCCTTCGGCTCAGGTCACGATCCCAGGGTCCTGGGATTGAGCCCCATGTGGGCTCCCTGCTCAGCAGGGACCCTGCTTCTCCCTCTCTATCTCCCCTGTGCTTGTGTTCCCTCTCTCACTATCTCTCTGTCATAAATAAGTAAAGTCTTTAATAAAATTTAAAAAAGTTTAGAAGTCAACCTAAATACTTGTGAAGGGGTCTACAACTTTGCAAACATCTTTCAGGGGGTATGTGAGAAAAGATTGCTAACACTCAGCCAGCATCCATGAAAATCTGAGATTTAATGACAGGTGTCCTGTCCTCAGGTCTTACCTGAGACCACTCCATGGCGACCCACTTGGGGCAGTCGAACAGGTTGCAAGTCTGCATGACCTTGGGTTTGGGCGCGTACATGCACTTCCACTCCTCCACCTGCAAGATCTCCCCGTGCATGGACTCCTCCACACACACGAAGCCCCGTCTCTGAATGCCGCCACCGCAAGACACCGAGCACGCGGTCCAGGGATTGTGTTCCCAGCTCAAAAGCAAACAAATAAAAACACATTATTTTTGCGTCATGTGTTGGTCTGTTTCAAGCTTGCCAAAGGGAAAGAGGCCAGCTGTGGTTCCACGGAAAGCACGCGGGACTGGGAGTCATGAGACTTGTCATAACCGCCCCACACGACATATAGTCACAGGGCGGTTCACACGTCTGACCCCGAGGCTACTGTCAGGGGGGAACACCACATCTTCCCTCGTGCCCCAGCGCAGTGCCATTCTGAGAACCACACTGGCTAACATGTAGCGTGTGAATGCATTCTTTAAATCATCCATCCAGGGGCGCCTCCGGCTCGTGTCATGGTCTCAGGGTCCTGGGATCAAGCCCCGCATCTGCCTCTCTGCTCAGCAGGGAGCCTGCTTCCCCCTCTCTCTCTCTGCCTGCTGCTCTGCTCTGCTCTGCCTACTTGTGATCTCTGTCCTTCAAATAAATAAATAAAATCTTAAAAAAAAAAGTCTGTCCACTGCTAATACTAACAGACAATATACTAGAGCATCACAGAAACCGAAGGTCAGAAACCAGTCATCTGGGCATCAAAGGGGACTCAAATTTCTGTCCAACTTCAAGGCCTGAGCTCCCTCTGTCGTGGCCAGCCGTCCGAGCTGTGCTTGATACCTCCAGCGATGGGAGACGTCGCCGCGGGAAAGAGCGCATTCTGTCTGATTCTAAGACAGATCTTCATTATGGAGTTGAAGTCTGCTTTCCCTTAGCTCTCTAAAAGATCTACTATCTACCCCTCTTACATTTTAGACTATTGCTACAGATGGGATACACTGCCTAGCAAACGACTTGGAGTAAACCGCGGAATGGAAAAAGCAAAACACGTGACTCACCGAGGGAGAGGCTGGAAATGGTCGTAGGGCATGATCTCTTTAAATCCGTCGCTACAAATGAAATCATTGGGACAACATCATTTCTCAGTCAATTAACATATTTGTTAATTCGACCACTATGGATCTGACATCCCAAAAAACAGAGCTCTTTCACATTGAAAACTAAATATGCACATGTTATGAACTCTTCCCAAAAAACCAGCCACCACCTTTTTGAGTTTCAGGAACATCTCTGGCACACGCCGCGCCCAGCTCTATGAAAATACAGAAACTAGTATGTATTAGTCAAAGGAAAGAGTGTCTCTTAAATTGGATGAATCTATTTTTTAATCATCTATTTTTTTTTGATATAGTAATGATACTAACACACGATCGCATTAGTGGAATCTTCAGAGAAACATTTAATTTCATGGAATTTGTCTTTTGAAAAGGTCTCTATGAATAATTATGTTCACCTGGGATTACAGGAAATGGGCAGCTCAGTGATAGGAAATGAAATCCACTGAGAACGCTTCCTTTTCCACTCGCACACTTCTGCCGTAGCCAGCTGGCAGATGTCTGGGGGATTCTGGGACTTGATACTGTGCTGTTATTTTAAGATACTGTAGTAAAGCCAGGAAACTTCCCCAGGCAATCCAAGTCAGCAGGTACTAAATTATGCAACGGGATAGTTTATGCATAGCTTTTCTGCTTTGGCATTAAAACTTTTCACTTCCTTGCACAATGCATTATTTATACCAAATTTAATGTGAACACTTCAAAAGTCAAAACGTGGTCATGGGTGACCCAGTTTAAAAGGGAAAATGGTGAGTTCAAGACATTTATGACTAGCAGATGGACAAGACCTCGTACTTGGACGAAAAGCGCTTTCCTATTATGTGTGCTGGAGATGCCCAGAGAGGGTCATTCCGCAGAGGCAACTCTCCGAGCACAGGCACGCCCAGCCAGACAGGAGAGCCCTGCACCACATGAGCTGGTCAGCTACTCCCTGTTGAACGGGTGACAGATACATGTAACGGCCACCAGCTTGTAGTCAAGGTTATGTGGTGCAAAGGGCACATAGTGCAAATGGCACTCTGCAAAGACCCATCAGTCTAGGCCACACTTGATTTCCTTCTTTTCAGAGGGGAAACCACGGGTGACGGTGCACACCTCGATGGGCAAGGGTCCATGCCGCACTCCTTCAGTTTGGGTTTTGGCTTTACGTTTTCGGGGTAGTAATGGCAGTAATGGTCAGGAACCACCCTCTTCAAGCGGATGTCCACACACTCAGCTGAGTTGAGCTGATAACCTAACGGGAAAAGAAAAGGCAAGTGTGAACATTGCATGGCGGCCTCCCCACGGGGCACTGATCCCTTGCCACACCCTTTTTTTCCCCTTAAGAAACTTGACTCAGTGATTCTCATCCCTGGATGCTCAACGGAACCCCTGAGAGCTTTAGCACACACCAGTGCCTGGGGCCCTTCACGGTCCAACTAAGCCAGAAACACTGTGGCTTGGTCCAGGAAATCCTTTTTTTTTTTTTTTTAAATGATCTTCAGGCTCTTCTAAGATGACTAAAGTATCTTCTAAGATGACTGAGATGGCCAAGATTGGGCATGACTACTTGGACCGATTGTGGAAGTCTTAACACTTGTAAGTTAAATACTTTTTAACACTTAATGAGAAAGTTACAGCAGCCCCCTCTTCCAGGAGGCCTGAACCCTGGGGCAGAACGTCACCCACTGTTCCGTCCCTGACACCAAGTCAGACCCCCATTCTTTCCGAGCACCTGCCCTCTTTACCTGTCACCACCCCCATCCCCCTTCCCCAGAGACACCTGCTCATTGTTTATACGTTTTTAAACGTATAATCCTGTAACCTTGTTTGTGTGTATCTGTAGCTATTTTAAATCTGGTTCTATTTTCTACTTCTCTCACTCAACACTACATTGTTTCGAGCTCCCACTGCAGACCTTCTGGTTGCTGGTGTAACCAGTTTAACTCTCTTGCTGTCCCGGGGAACCTGGGGCACCTCGGAGGCCAACGAACTTCTCTACCTGGGGATGTGAGCACCGTCTGTACAGGGAGGAACAAAACCCATCCCCTGTACCGCCCCCTGCCACAAAAGCCCTCACGGGGAAGGGATGAAGACTCCCTTCTGAGTCTATTAAATTCAAATTGTCATCGCTTAGGAAAGCGAACATTCCAAAGGGGTGAGTGCTGTAAATTTTTTAAAAACTCCCAAAATGATGCTTCTATTTCCTGAAAGATCTGATTCCAGGCTTCCTGTCACTACATAAGTGTCATGTTAAGTTAAAAGAAAAAGGCAATTTTTCAAAACCAGAATGATCTCTTCGGGCAAAAAATAAAATAAAAATAAAGCCCAAGCTAAGCTCTCAGTCTCAGCCAGTTGGTCTAAAGGTCTAAAAATACATTGAAGGGCCTGCTTGTCGAGAGGAATCTGATTTTATAAACCACTAGACAGCCTTCTGCAAGCCACGGCTTGGATGTAAGCTGAGTGCAGAAGGACAGACTGGTATGCATTATAAAAAGCAAGGTTGAAACCGCAAGAATGAAAATCCAAACGGAGTCAATAAAACGTTGCTCGGGTGCCGATATCTGCCAGAGAGTCTACAATATCAGATGGCAGTGGCGATTCTGGAACTTTCTCCAGACCGATCTTAAGAATCCCACATAGATGACTACAGACAAGACCAGGAAAGTCCATCCAAGCACCTTAGGGAGCAGGAAACTAACTTGCCTGACTACCCCAAAACTCAGAAATGGCAGTTACACTGATTGTGTACACTTGATTACATATAATTACATTCTGGTATTGCTTTCCTTGCGGGTTTTTATGTGTGTGTTTTTATTTCCTCCAACACAAGAAGAGAATGAAATTACAGCTCCTAGAATCAGAGAAAAACTTTGTTCTAAATGGAAACATACCTCTAGGAGACCAAAAAAAAAAAAAAAAAAAAGCATACAGTGTTTATAATTTAAGGAGAGACAATTAATTTTCCTCTTTAATTTTATGGCAGTACCAAGATAACTAAACGCGAAGGAAATAAGACAGATTGCCTTCCTATATTATGAACAAATGTGTTGAAATTCTGCCGGTGGGCACAAAATGGCAGGCTGCAAGGGGAACCCCGCAAGCAGCGTGACGTCCCCCTTCTGTTCTGACAACCGCCACCATCTTGGTGGGCAGTCTCATGGCTAGGTGCCCCCACGTATGGTTCCAGCCAGGCTGACTGTGTCTTTCCTTTAGCACCCAAGTACGAGACCCATCTGTGTTCCTCCCAAGAATTTCATCAACCAAACGAAGCCAAACCCCATTACAAATGTCCCTCTCAGAGCGGAAAGCTGCTCTTTTATGTGTCTACATGTGTCTCTCTGAATAAGGTGGTGTGAGAGTTAGTGGATACATTAAAAAGAAAGAGATGTTTGTATTCCTGCCAAGTAGGATTAAAAAGAGCCCAACTGGTTCTTTGCTTTCATGTTGGGGACCTTGAGAGACTCCGTCGTCCCTGGAGTCATGGCCCAGCTGACGCTACGGTGGTGGGGTTCTGCTTCTGGATAGAAAATGTACACATAGGGAGCTCTAGGTATGTCCCAATCCCCCTGAGGCATGGAGTCCTGTCTGTATCTCATAACTCATCCCCAGAGAATGCTGGGAGAGGGGACGGCCAGAACTCTGAAGATTACACAGAGGCATTTTAAACAAAACTCAGGTTTGCCTTGACTCTAACGTAGCAGGTATCTCCTGAGTACCCACTAACTGCCAGGCACCGCACGAAGCTCCTTGGCACGTGTCCTGTCGTTTTGTCCCCCAACAATGCTGCAGGGTGGGAGGAGGGGGGAATCGTCCTGTTTTATGTATGAGCAGACTGAGGCTCCGGGCCAAGCAGTGGCAAAGCCAAGAAGGGTATCCAGGTCCCGGAACTTGAGCTCCGCGGCCACACCGCCTCTTGAAGTAAACATCATCATGCAATTTTTAGAGAACGAGTCTGGCCAAAGTGAGCCTGAGGCCCAGGTTTGGAGAGATTTATGGAATTGATGCAGGTCACGGTCTTAAATCCAAACGCTCTTTGACCTCAATCGGCGTTCAATAAGGTCAGAGGTGTGGTAAGAGTTGCCTGACGGTCCCTGTTGCAAGGTCAGTGACTAAGCACTTTGGAGGAGTTTCTGCCTATGAACCGTGATCATCATGTTCGACGAAACACATTCTCGCTTTCAGGGGGGATCGAGAGAGAGAATGTGAAGGGACGACCTCCAGGGTTTTGTTTCCATATTCATTTTTGTGATTGTGTTCAATTTATGGCAAGAGACCAGAGTTTGCCGCTTGGAACTGCTCGTATTAGATCCTTTTTTGTGAATATGTTTATTTAAAATTTTTTAGAGGTCCATTTAAAGAAAACCCAGGAGTAAATAATAGGTCGGGGTAACACAGATACAGAAAAGCAGTGAAGTTAATACAGCTACAGGTGATACCCGAAGACATCGCTTTAGGGAGCAGTGGTTCTTAAGCTGGGACATGCACCATAATCTCCTGGAGGGATGGGCCCCACTCCCTGAGTTTTGGATTCCATAGGTCCAAGTTGGGGCCCAAGAATCTGAATTTCCAGCAAGTTCCGTGTGACAGCTGCTGTTGGGAACCCACTTTGAGAACCACTGCTATAGGATTATACTCTCATGGTCTCTTGCCCATGCCTGGCCCAAGAAGAACTACCCGGGAAGGTTAGCTTTTTACCTTGTCTCTAGAGCCCCATTCAACCCCCAGACTGCTTCCCTTCCATTCCCAGCAACACAAGCTCCTTCTGGGGGTCGGGGCTACTCGGTGCTCCCTACAAAAGCACCTGCCTCCTGCTTTCACTGGGAGCCTAAATCGCAAAAGACAGCGGTCTGACATACATGTGCACAGGAACCTGACCTTGGCGGAGGAGCCCTCCTTGATAAGCCTCTGGTTTAGAGAAGAGGCACTTGGTTTGTGGCTCTCTGAACAAGCTCATATTTGATAGCCCTGCAGGGCAGAAATGGTTTGGGGCTGGGCTGATGGGGCTGGGCTGCAGGAGGCCGATTGGTTGTAGCCCTTCAGACACAACCCTACCTGAGCCTGCATGCCCTTACCTGGTCCCAGCGGTGGTGGACAGTTCCCTGGAGACACAAAGGCAAAGCCACCTAGAGCCTGGGGCTCTGCCATCAGACGGACCCAGAGCCGGATCCTAGCGGGGCTGTTTGCTTGCTGAGCACACAAGAGTCCACTTTTGACCTTTCCTATGTTTCCACCGCTCATACATAAAAACAGCCATGAAAGGAGATCTTTTTTAAGGTTGTTTGGAAGAATAAATGTGAAGGTGAGTGCCCTAGCCCACAGCTTGATACATGTAAATGCCCCGCCCTGTTATTCGGGTGCTTTTAAGGGGAGTAACGGCATGAAGTCCCTCTAGCAACTCTAGTAACCATGGGTTGTGGGTCGGCACTAGTCTAGAAACATTCACCTTCAACTGAAAGCTTCCATTCATTAAAAGAGACTTATCTCCATGGAGGCTCTGGGCCTCATTTCCTCCAGGCGCCCCTACTTCTTCCATGTTAAACAGACGATGATTCTGCACTTGAGCCTGCAAATCTGTGTGGCACGCGTGGAGCCCTGGGCTACACTTGACCCAGAGCCTTCCTGAGCTGTCTGTGAAATCCTTGAATGAAGCAAGCAGTAAGCAGGATTTCCCCCTCACCACTGAGCAGCTACCCTCTCTCTCTCTGGTAAGTTCTGCTCTGGCACCTGATGGAGGACAGGGGACATCGAAACATTAGAACCAATGCATCCATGAACTTGGTCAGACTGGGCAAGTGACGTGGCCTCCCTGTTTTCAGGTCTTCCATGGAAAATTAAAAAGACCTGCTTTAAAGACAATCAAAACAAGAAAGGCCAGAACTCATGCAAACACCTTTCTAGCTTTTTGCTAGAAGTAAAACATGTTTTCCAAATCCCGTTTTCACCTGTCTTCAAGAATAAAGGCAAAAATGCATTTAGGAACACCACCGCATTCCAGCCTCTGAGGAGGAAGCCATGTGATTACATATCCCCAGTTACCATGCCCATTGTCAAGTCAGCCTTAAAAACGTAAGTATGTCATTTCTGACTCTGAGCCCTAAGCATGCACGTGGTCTGCGCCTCACCTCCTCCACATGTTACGGTGCAGGGGAAGAAGTCGGTTTGCCTCCACTGATGACTGATTGGCTGGTAGAAGAAAAACTGGACCACGCTGTCCTTGGCCACCGTGTACCTGGTCTGGACAGAGAGAACTGTGGTCAGCGTCTACGTACGACGAGCCAGCGCTTCCCGCACCTTTCCACATGCGATGAATCTATTTCACTGATACGGACCATCATTTATCGATCACGACACACTGGCACATGAAGATTCCAAAAATTGTGATATGGGACAACATTTCATTGAGGTCTGTCATCCATGGGGGCACAGAAGATCTTCAGCCCGTCTCCCTGGAGTCATCTTTCCAGATGACTCCATGCCTGGGAGTGAGTTCTCAAATGTGTCAGGTAAACTTGCTTGTTTAACTTCTTTTTTCTACCTGATACATCTGATTTTAATTTCTATGGAGCCGGGACTGAGCCAGTCTGGGCTGGTCGGCAGCACAGCACAGAACTGGGATTCTTACACTTTCGTAATAACATCTTGAAGCAAATCCTTCCAAAAAGGTCTTCTGAAAGCACAACTGCAAAAGCTCAAATGTACACAAATACATGGTGTTTACACACGAGCGTTCCAGCATCTAGTCAGAGAGGAGGAGGGGCACCCGTGCGAGCGAGGAAGCAGAGGGAAGAGGGAACGTACCACTGAAGGACCACACTCAAGCAGCAAGTTCTCCCCCCAGGTTTTTCTTTTCTTCTCTCCTGACTGAACAAACGAATGAACTGAGGGAAACTCCCAGAATATAACAAAAAGAGAAAAAGAAAGAGGAAAATAAGTTGAGTTCAGTTCTTGCAGGATGGACCCAGAAATGCCAACACACATACGGAGTTCAAGCCAGAGACACCCAGGAAATCATGAAGAGGCAGTATTTGATGATATAATTGCTGAAGGTTTCTCAGACCTTGAGAAAGACAGGTGGACTCAACAAAAGTGTCCAGCAAGTTCTGAGCAGACATTTTAGAAAAGTACAACAGCCAGGATAAAGAAAAATCATGTTATTGGGAAGAAAAAGACATGATTATCTATAAAGCAGTGAGAATCAGATTGGAGTCAGATTTCTCACAGGAAACACTGGATGCAGGAAAGCAAAATCATACCCTCAAAGCGATGAGGAACAATAACTTTTCATCTCGAATTCTGTAAGTGATTAACCAACAATCAAACACCAATTATCGATCAACAAAAAATCTATGATCAAATTATCATCATAGTCAGTGAAACAAAGATATTTCAGACAAAAGATGACTGAAACTTGACCACTTGAGACCCTCACTGGAAAAAAAGAGAGAGAGAGAGAGAGAAAGAAACTACGAAAAGGTACCAAACAAGAACTAATATAAAAGCAGAAGATAAATAAATAAATAATCATAAAAGCAGAAGGAAGGAAGGGAATGCAAGAAATGGTAACAATGAAATCACTCAGGAAAGCTTATTCATAAAGGTAAATAAGAGTTAACCGAAAAATAAGATTTTGATATATCTAATTATAAAACAGTATAAAAACTCCAGCATGAGATGTGTTGTTGGAGAAGAGAAGCAAGGACAGGTGGGAGGTGGGAGCACAGCTGTCACAGAGGCATGAAACACTTGTAAAGGGTTTTTCTCTGGCTATGGAAGGATGTCTCTGATGAATCCTGCCAGAGAGAGCAAGTCAAAACATTGCCTAAAATATTTCTTAATGTATTTGAAGGCACCAGACAACTACCGTACTAGTGAACATTCACAGCGCCAAGATTCCAGACACAAAGGAAGCCCAGCGAGGTGAGCATAACACTTGGCACCCCCTTTGGCACCATGTTTCTGCTCCAGGCATTTCCCGTCATGCAAGTAGTGACTGAGTGGCTGAGAAGCTGCTGTCATCAGACTGTGGGGCCAAGACCAAACACTTGAGCTCAAGATCCACTGAAGCCGGAACGGTACCACGAAGTGCCCCAGGCGCGCCACTGAGACCCTGAAAAGCTCTATCTTAGGAAAAAGTGTGAACTGGACGTGGACCAATTTCCAAAGGGAATGAAGGCCAGGTTCAAATTATTTCAATTCCTTGTTGGCTGAAGGTAATTGGCTGCTAACGTGTCTTCCAGAAGCAGAAATTAATCCTGTCTCAAATTATATCTGTAATCTCCTCACCTACTATATATAGCAAAACTGAAAACCAGGCCCACAAAAAAGATAAAATTTAGTAACAACCGAAAAACACGGAGCAATAGACTATAAATGGAATTACAGAACATCCAGATATCGGCATCACCTGATAGAAATTTAAACACCTGGGTACACCGCCACTGCCCCCTGCGACTCTAGGTTTGGCTTCAGATGGTATTTCACAATACTCCCTACCAGTCCCAGGGTCTTAAAACATCACTGTTAGCACACGGCTCACTCCTAGGGCTCTGGTTTTTAGAGTCTGGGCTAAGATACCATGGTTAAAATGCTTAAGAAACTAAATGACAAGATGGAGAATTTCACTAGAAACAAAGAAGCTACAATAAAAATAAAATGGCCGGGGCGCCTGGGTGGCTCAGTTGGTTAGGAGTCTGCCTTCAGCTCAGGTCATGATCCCAGGGTCCTGGAATCAAGCCCTGCATCAGTCTCCCTACCCGTCTTTCTACCCTCCCCTCTGCTCACATGTGTTTGCTCTCTCAAATAATAAAATAAATAAAATCTTTATTAGATAGAAATAAGTAAGTAAAATGTCAATTCTAGAAGTATGAAGCATCATAATTTAAATTGGTAGCTCAATGTATAGATTTGACAGTGGATTAGACTGGAGTTCAGCAAACATTTTCATAAAAAGCCAGATAGTAAACATTACAGTTTTCAGGCCATATTGTCCCTACGGCAATTATTCAAGGTGGCTGATATAGTGCAAATCAGCCACAATCCATAAACACATAACTGTGTTTATGTCCCAATAAAATTCCACTTACAAAAATAGGTCATTAGCTAGCTGGCTAGGATCTGCTGGCCCCTGGATTACACACACTTAAAGAGAGAACCAGTAAAAGGACAGAAAAGGAGGTAGAAAGTAGACATGAGAGATAAAGGTATAACCATAGTCCCAGACAAAGAACACAGAGAATGGGACAGAAACTGCATCTGCAGAGGCAATAAATGAGAATCTTCCAACACTGATGGTGGATCTCAAGCCAGAGTTGTGAAGCACCATGAACCTCAAGCAGAAGAAAGCCACTAATTACAACACAGTCAAACCAATGACAACCAAAGCCAAAGAGAAAACACTTAAAAGCAGACAAAGGAAAAGACCCATTAGCATCTAAGGCACTGAAATAAGACTGACACCTCCCTTCTTAACAGAATTACTGGAAGCCAGAAGACAATGAAGAGGGATCCTCAATGTTCTGACAGAAAATAGTTTCATAACAGTAAAATAGTCATGTCACTAGAAGTAAAGACCCTAAATGTTAGTGTTCCTAACAAGCTAGCCTCAAGGATAAATAATTCAAAATTAACAAGAATAGAAAAAAATCAGGCAAAGGTACAGTCACAGCACCGGTTTTGTCATATCTCTTATGGTAACTACTGGAATGAGCCAACAAAAACCAGTAGGCTATTATTTTTAATAAAACCATTAATAATAACATGATCGATGTGACATATCGACAGTGCCCAACGACAGAAGATGATGCGTCACATCTTCTACTATCTGCTATGTTCTGAGCCACCAGTTAAGGTTCAAAAGATTTCCAAACAACTGACATGATATAGACGATGTTCTTTGACTACAGTGGAATTAAGCTACAAAATAATAACGAGATTCTGGAAAATTTCCATGTACTTGGATAAGACACTTCTAATTATTCCATAAATCAAAAACTATATCGCTATGAAAATTACAATACAATTTAACTGAATGATGATGGGAAAGATTTCCTATCAAAATTTGTAGGACGAAATAAAAGGCATGCTTGGAGTGAAATTCATAGATTTAAATACATGTGTTATGGGGGGGAGAAAAGGATGAAAATCAATGACCTAAACAGCCAACTCAAAAAATTAAAAAGGGGGAGTGGACTTGGGTGGCTCAGTGGGTTAAGTCTCTGCCTTCGGTTCAGGTCATGATCTCAAGGTCCTGGGATCGAGTCCTGCATCAGGCTCTCTGCTCAGCGGCGAGCCTGCTTCCCCCTCTCTCTAACTCCCTCTCTGCCTACTTGTGATCTCTGTCTGTCAAATAAATACAATCTCTTTTTTAAAAAAGTTTAAAAAGGAACAGTTTATTGAATCCAGAAAAACTGGAAGAATGGAAATAATAAAGATAAGAGTGGACATAAATAATATGGAAAGGAAACTACTTTAAAATAGGCTATAAAGCCAAAAGCTGTTTCTGTGAAAAGTCTGATAAAAGTTACAGCCCTCCAAAATGATTGATTAAGTTTAAAAGAAAGTAGGGACGAACAGTCAGTATCAGGAATGAAAAAAAAAAGACTCACTACAGATTCTGGAGACAATGAAGAAATAGTAAGAGGATATCATGAAAAAAATCTCTGCCAATAATTTTTAAAAACTTAGCTGAAATACAGGCACACCTCGGCGATATCATGGGTTAGCAAATATCACAATAAAGTTAGTCAAATAAACTTTTTGGCTCCCCAGTGCATACAAAAGTTATGTTCACAACATGATACAGTGTATTAAGTGTGCAGTAGCATCATGTCTAAGAAAACAATGTATGTACCTTAATTTAAAAATACTTTATTGCAGAGCATCTACTCGGCTCAGTCAGCCGAGCACGCACCTCTTGATCTTGGGTTGTGAATTCAAGCCCCATGTGGCATGTAGAGACAACTTAAAAATAATAATCGAAGAAAAATCTTTTAAAAAATACATTATTGCTAAAAAATGCTAACCACCATCTGAGCAAGTTGTAGTCACTGATCACAAACCACCATTGCAAGGACAGTAATAATGAAAACGTTTGACATATTGTAAGAATTATCAAACTATAACACAGAGACATAAAATGAGCAAACGCCATTGGAAAAATGGTGCCAATAGACTAGTCTGAGTCAGGATTGCCACAAACTTTTGCAGCAATTTGTAAAAGAAAAATACATATATCT